AAATCAACATTAACTGAAGGTCGAAACATTGGTATCTGATCATTTTAATACATGGGACGAATATACAACAGCCATAACAGATGATTTAAGAGGGAACTAAGTGCACCCTCCCGATTTCACTAAAATACACGAACTGTTGATATGGACTTTTTTGAGATAATTCTCTGAGAATTTGTTTGATAGTTTTTTAAGTATCCGCGTACTTTACAATCTCTTCGTATTAAACGGTTTACTTTTTTTTCCAACAGTCAAATAATGAGTTCTGTAAGCCTAGCCCACGAAGGCCTTTGAGTCGAACTGATAATCAGATTTGCAATTAGTGTAACAACCCTAGAAAAAGTGTGTTTTAGTCGAATTGGGAGAGAGCAATCAAAAATCTGAAGAAAAAATCTGAGATGATTAACTACAATTCAAGCATATGAAATATCGAGTGAAGACATAATTCTTAAACAACTTAATGTAATAATTTTGTTTTCATAGCAATTCATTGTTATTGATGAATCTTAACTGTTTCAAAAATATAAGCGAAATTCAGTGTAGTAAAGAGAACTCTGTCTAGAGCCCTGTTATCATGACTTTCTCGTTACCGTTTACCATACGGTAATGGTGTTCTTTTGTTGCTGCAGGCCATCAGCTCTGTCTCTCACAACTATAACTATCGCTCAGTTTCTTTTTTCAAAACAATATTAATATGTCTGTTGATTTTTCAGAAAACTAATGTTAGATGTGTATCTTTTTGATGTATACTCTACAAATTGACTAGATGAGACTGTTTCGTTAGAAATTTGTTAAGCGTCTCCAGAAACTCAGTCTCAGAAGATCCATCCAAAAAAGGCATAAGTCTCCATACGGCGGTCACATTCTAACTCATTGTCAAAAGTTACTTAAATAGTGAAGTATGTTTCGAGAAAGAAGAGGGTAGATATACAGCATTCTACTCTTGCAATATGCATGCCCTAAGCGTAGTGTATTTTTTTTCCTCCTGATGATTTTTATCACTCATTTTTTGTTCACTATTCAGTCAGTTACACATCTGTATGTATGTACGAAGCGTTTGCATTACTGATCATGATCGCGAAAATAATCCAAAAAGTGCATTTTTCTGTTAATTAGAACTAACGTACGAAATAATAAACTAATCTCATCTGTTCATCAAGATGAAATTGTTTTAATGATTAAGAAACTGCTATAAGCTGGAACTAAAAAGCGAAATAATTCCTTTTATTGAGAGTTGTATAACAAGTTGGTATTTTCATGTTATGGAAGTCTGTTTGATACAAAAATTACAATTCATTTTCGATTTTTTCAAACATTTTCAGAAGAGTTGAACGCTTAAAATCAATTAGACAGTCCGCCCCAAATAGAAAGTTGTTTTTTGGGATCTAGTCTAAAACTTGATCTTTGGAACATTTAGTTAGCTGCAACCGAATAAGAGAGTAGATACATGTTCCAAAAATCTTTTTGGTTGGGCAAACGTTTCTGTTCTAATTAACAATAAAAATGAACAGACATAGAGATTTAATCACGAAAAAATGGCAAAATTGATCCCGTTTACAAAAGTTGGTACAGAAAATGCGGACGTGATCTAGTTCTGTTTGTTCTTCAGTTCTGTTATACTTCCGAATACAAAGTTGAATAGTTGAATCTGTCATTTTATTTGTCACGAACTAATAAGCTGAAATCACACGAAAACACACTTAAAAACACAACTATTTATATAAAATTTATATATAGTTGAGAAACAGATGGAAAGGAGTAGTGAGTTATTTCTAAACATATGATAACATATGATGCCCTTATGTCTATATGACATAATAAGTTTTGATCCCGGTTAGAAATTTATTTATTTATTCTGCAGAATTGATTCTGATTGTTGTCTGATGTTAAAGTCTTTCCTGTATGGATGGAATGATACGTGCAAACTTTGAATGCGTTTATTTCTGCAGGCTAGCAGTTATCATTTTTAATTGTTTTCTAATCGTAATTGTGGCTATTGTATAATGATACTTAGAAATTGGCAAGAATATTTTAAATACGCAAACGAGATTGATCTTTTGAAGTGTATAATAAAAGAATAATATGTGTAAAAGTCGAACGGAGACGTTAAACAGAATTATCGATTCGGAAGACAGAAAATAGGGAAATCAAAGTTTGCACGTATAATTCTATTTATATAGGATAACAGACCTTAACATAAGACAACAACTGGAATGAATTCTGTAAAAGAAAGAAAGAAATTTCTAACCGAGATCAGAACTGAAGAATAAATTTAAGGGGGGGGGGGGGGGGGGGGGGGGGGGGGGGGGGGGGGGGGGGGGGGGGGGGGGGGGGGGGGGGGGGGGGGGGGGGGGGGGGGNAAAAGACAGATAAACAATAAAAAATTTAATTTCCCCCCCCCCCCCCCCCCCCGCCCGGAGAAATGATGATCCTCGGACAAAAAAACCGTTCTGAGGTAAGTACATGCAGAGATAGCTGAAGTATCTACTTTCAGAATCTATATCGCTTTCTGTTAGAGAGGTGATTTTTCGCGGCTTTCGAGCAAGTTTTGTAGGAGCTCCGAAAAACTGGATCTTCAAATAATAGTTTTTTCCTGGATACTTATGCAACTAAATTTTTTCCCAATGCGTATATTGTAGAGCAAACTTTTCTAATCCAAATAAGACGGCGTACAACTCTGTATTATTCTGCATTAAAAAATTATAGAAATTTTCCTAAAAGGCCTAAAATTGAGCATTTTATACAGCGTTTTCTCTACATGTGAATTATATCTGAAATATTTCCCAACATTTTTTAATATACTTCAAGCTAGAGAGTTCGAATTTGTTTTATTTTAAACTAGACATACGACCGGTGCCGATTTTTGAATTAGGTCTTAGTTTTTTGTCAAGTTGAAGATTTCTAGAAAACCAGAGAGCGTTTTTTGGATTTTTGAGGTTGTTGGTTGTCTACAAAGCGAACAAAGACCTAATTGAAAACTCAGTGCCGGTCAGTCCATGTAACTAGATGGCTAGCTTAAAATAAATAAACCCGAACTCTCTAGCTTGAAAAATTTTGGGAAATACCCGCCTAAATGGGGTCAATTCTACTATTTTTAGGAATCTATTCAGATTTTATCCCAGAAAAATAATGTATTGTTATCATTATCAAAAAAAATTCTTTAATTTGACGACGATTTATAGTAAGCGCAATAATAATCTTCAAAAAACAAAATAAGTAATGCAGTACTTATATTTATTTTAAATTGATATTATATCTGGTAATAATATGCATGATAAATTAAAAATTAAAATTGTTCAGTTGAATCGTAAATATGTGATTAGTCCGTTTTCATTGTAATATGTAGATTATAACAATGATCGTATCACATTTTCATCTAATAACAAATTACGACTAGTTATGTAGAGGAAAATAATTGTGCTATGAACAACAGTAGCAAGAGCAACAAAAAAAGTGAACTGAATATCGGTGAACGTTTAAATCAATTGAAAGATAAATCACTAGTTTTTTTCAACACAATCTCTCATCATGGTTATACGCAAAAAGCAATGGTACAATAAATTAATAGACTAATAGGAAACATATTTACTGTTTCAGAAAAATAATTCTTTAACCAATCCCTAGTGAATGTACCTACGAGTGGGTACTTGTTTACTTGCAAATTTCCACGAGTACTTGACAAGTATTTTCAAAAAATACTACTTGATAAATGCTTGAAAGCACTTGCCAGGTACTTGATTTTGAGCCTCTCACGGGTACTTGCAGGTCACTTAGGCAAGTGCTTGGCTAAGGACTTGACAAAAAGATAAAGGAATTCAAGTACTTGATTTACTTGCGAAAAAGCGCAAGAAGGTTGGACAAAACTTGCAAGGGTACTTGATCAAGCACCAGCATGCAAGTACATTCATTAGGGATGAATATTAATCACAATTATTCGATCGATCAAAAACGCTCGCTAATGTTGATCAAAGAACAACATCGAAACAAGAAGCTAGTTCAAGTGCTTCAGTTCTCACGTGCACACTATTAAAATCGTTGTCATCATTCACAACAACGACATTGATTAGCGGCAAAAATTGGCAAACAATGTTTGATACGATGACGATAAAATATCAGAACAATCAAACAGCAAGCTCTACTGTGGATGGTCTAGAATACGGACAAGAATTGAAAAGAGAACGATTTTCCACGTTTAGGAGAACGGTTCGCATTTTTTACGGATATTTTTTATAGCTGTAAAGAGAACGGATAACATTATTTGGAGAACAGTTTTTGAACTCTTTTTGACGAAATTAAAAATAGTATAAACTACGATAACTAAAGAGGAGTTAGACCTAAATCCACATCACGTGATGAATAATATGACTGTAGAACATACTTGGGATGGATTTCATCATCTTTCAACAAAACATAAGTATAGATACGTAGTGAACACGAGCAATTCTAAAATTCAACACAGTCTAAAGTTATGCCCAGACACGATCGCAAAGTAGTCGATAGAAATCATACAAATTCAAAAGCCGTTCTCCAAACAATGTTAGCCATTCTCTTTTCACCTATAAAAAATATCCGTTCTCTAAAAAATGCCAACCGTTCTCCGAAAAGTGGAAAACCATTCTCTTTTAACTATTTTTCCTAGAATATGAAAAGAAAGAAAATAGATAAATGTATTGAATGTGTGACGACAATGGGTTTCGTTGATGCATGGATTCAGTTAATTAAACGAGATTAGAGCAAGATACGTAGAGTTTCTTGCGTAATAATTATCAAAGCGATGGTTGTTTTTCGATGTTGTTTTTCTGAATCATCGACTATTTTTCAAACAATTTCAAAATATGTTTTTGCTTGTTCTGTTACTTCCTTCATCACTATGACGTTCATATAGTAACTCTAGTGTAGAAATGTCATATCAAAATAAAAACAAAAAAATTGTCGATTCCGTTTTCTTTTTTCATGTGTAAAGTGCTTTTAAATTGTTTTTTCTATCAATAATCTAAGATTAAATGGCATCAGTAGCAATCAAATACGTTGAGAAAAAAGGTGAACTTTGGCCAAAGGATCGAGAACCATTTCATGGCGATATCGTTCAAGGTCGACTAGGCAATTGTTTTTTTATTGCGGCAGTGCAAGCAATAGTCTCGTCTCAACCAAATGTTTTAAAATCGATTGTCATATCAGAATTAAATGATAATCGATATCGATGTATTTTCTATCGACAAGGTGAACAAATTGAAATTGATGTTGATCTCACAAATATACCAGTTGATACGAATTCAAATATTCCATTGTATTGTCGATCAACATCGGAAAATATCGTATGGCCGTATGTGTTTGAAAAAGCTTATTCTCAATTCTATGGTTCATACGACAATTTAATCGGTGGTAATACATCTGAAGCCTTTTATGATTTATTAGGTTTACCAGTTGATGAATACGAACCAATCGATGAAATATGGAACGTCATATCAAATTGTCTAAGAAATAAAGAGGGATTTGTTACTTGTGGTGCAATTGATAACACTGTTCAAGTGCCAACAATTCGTAATGGTATTCGAATCAATCATGCCTATGTCATACTAACCACGTATGTTTTTCAAACTCAACGTTATTTGTTGATACATAATCCACAAGGCATAAATGATATTCAACAAGAAAATAGGCTAGTAAGAAAAGCATTTTTTACATCATCATCATCGTACTTATTATGGGAAAATCAACAAGGCACACAATTTCTAGCATGGAAAGATTTATCGAAAATGTGTAATCGAATACAAATTTGTTACTGTACAGCTAAGTCGATTTATAACAAACCTCTGTTCTCACAATGGACACAATCATCTTCAGGTGGATGCTCTAACTTATATTCATTCTATTTGAATCCATTCATATTGATCCCTCACGAACTAAAAGGAAAAATGCTAACCATCTTGATCGGACAAAATGATCAACGATGTGAACGTACAAATCCATTGCAAAAATTAAATTATCCACAACTTGGTATCACTGTTGTCAAATTTCAAAAACAAGAACATGAAGACGAAAGAGCATTTATTCCTACGCAAGATCGATATGAATTGATTAAACAATCAAAATATTGGAACAAACGAGATCACGCACTCCGTTTTGAAATGCCAACACATTATGATGTGAATATAGCAGCCATTGGTGTTATCCTTTCCACTTATTCGCCAAATATGCTAATTCAATTTTGGCTACAATTCTATATCGATACAACAATTCCCATGTTGAATACTTTTAACGTTCGAACATTATTAACATTATATCCAGAACAACAGCATTTTTCTAGTAAATGGACAAAAGTCAATAGTGGTGGACGATATCAAAAAAATACATTTTATCATAATGTAGGATACCGTGTATTAATTGAACAAGAATCTGTCTCAACATCAGTCACTATTATTCTTCATCAAATTCCATATACCAACAGTAAAGATACACCAATTATACCATTACAAAATCATCATCCCATAGGTCTATACGTTTTCTCAGTGACAGATAAAAATGTTAAACTAAAAGAAAGTCCGCCATTATACTCTGATGCAGAATTTATACGAGCACGTTCAATATCAAAAATTGTTCAGATTCATAAAGGACACGAATACTATGTTGTGCCGACTTGTTTTGAGTCAAATTCAGAAGCCGCATATGATTTAACGTTTTTATCAGATATTCTTTTATCGATCACAAAACTTGAATCTATTGATATATTAAAACCTCGTGTTGTCACACCACCTAAGAACAAAACTCAACAAAAAACACCATCGTCATCTTCTCCAATAGCTCTTTCAACGGCAACACGAAATGTAAAACGTCTCGTTCACGAAGATTTTCAAAATCTCATATAACCTTAGAATGACCAACCGAAGTACAAAGAAGGGCGCTCTCGCATCTAAATTAAAGGGATTAGCTTAAAACTAAGCACAGCTATCTTTGATTGTAACTAGCTGTGGTTGGTTAGTTAGACAACGCAGTGTCTGTTTTCAGCTAAAATGCCTCCTCATAAACTAGCTTGTAGCTAGCTACATATATCTTTGTAAAAAAGGCGCCGAAGCTGTTATTCAGCTAGATTTTTTCTCTTACTTATGTTTATTCGATATTCTCGCAGAAATCAAAGAAGGATGCTTGATATATTACTTAAGGGATGAAGATCTTTGCGGACTCCATACTGCGTCGCTGCGAAAGAGAACTCGTAACTTTTTCTACAGTACAAGGTACTAAAGAGTTCAAATGTAATTTTGAAAAATTAAAAGTTGAGTTGATTTATAACTCGGGTTGAACGCAGGCAGAGTGCAGCATTTTTATTCAATCAACCCATGGGGAAATTTTATCGACTTTTCACGCGTGCGGGACCGTGAAATGTCAACTTGGACTTTCACGAAAGGACGGGGTGCAATAAGAACGAGGACCGGCCCCATTTCACATCTTCTCGAATGGTATCTAGAATAAAAGAGCATACAATTTTATGGGGTTCTACATCGTTGGTTCCCCTTCGGACCTCATATCTGTCAGAAAATCGATCAACTTTGAACAATAGCTCCACGAGCCCATTCCGAGGTGTTTTTCGTAATTTTCTCAGAACACAACAAGTTTGAAGGAAAGTCTTATACACCATTCGATGTAGCTCTAAACAGCGAATAAAACTGTCTACTGCTCAATTGTTATGTACACTGCGAACACCCACGTTTTTGTCATATTACTGTTAAAAATGACCTTTTCAGCATAGCCAACGATAGTATTTCAGCTTTTTCATCGGGAAAGAACCCAGGTTGCGGTCTACATTGTATATCGAAAGAAAGCTCTTTCAAAACTCTACAAAACGGTGGGTAACTCATTTCTAGTTGGAAGTGCGTACACTCATTTTTTTCGATATTACTACTGAAGAGTGATGTTTTCAAACATAGAGACGGATAATGTTTCTGTGTTTTTACCATGAAAAAACTTAGGTTGCGGTCTACATTATATATCAAAAGAAAGCTCTTTCAAAACTCTACAAAACAGTGGGTAATTTATTTCTCGTTGGAAGTGTGAACACTCACTTTTTCGGATATTACTAC